GAGGTGCTGCCCCAGCCCGCCCCCTGCCCTCTCCTCTTCATTTTTGTAGGAAATTTTGGGGGTTGGGCGTGGGGAGGGGAGGGCGTGTGTGTGTGTGGGGTCAGTCAGGAAAGGCGCCTGGTGGAGCAAAGCCGCCGGTTGTCTGGTCGGCGGTGGGCGAGTTTTGCACCTCTCGCACGTCTAACCTAAACTCGCGTTTTTAACTTTAGCCCCAGCCCGCCCCCTGCCCTCTCCTCTTCATTTTTGTAGGAAATTTTGGGGGTTGGGCGTGGGGAGGGGAGGGCGTGTGTGTGTGTGGGGTCAGTCAGGAAAGGCGCCTGGTGGAGCAAAGCCGCCGGTTGTCTGGTCGGCGGTGGGCGAGTTTTGCACCTCTCGCACGTCTAACCTAAACTCGCGTTTTTAACTTTATAGTTTGCTGTTCGTTTTCAAACAAGGACCGTAGCTCTCTCTTTTCAGCTCGTCTGTACAGCGTTTTTCAGAGGAACCTTTAATTTACAAAGTACTGCTTTGTAGAGAAGCAAAATAGCTTCAGCACTTGGTACGGCAGGAAAGAAAGAGGGAGAACTGCGAAAGCCGTTGAACTGAGATCTTTGGAAACGCGTGCTAAATGAAGCTTTGCAGTATTTTTGGCTCTGCCTAAGGACAATAAACAGGAGTTACTCTGATAAGATTTTTCCAATATCACGTGCCTGCTGCACCATTTAATATCTCATTAATGATCAATCCGGTGTACAGTTCAGGAATACTAGTCAGTAAATACTAAGATCTTTACCTAACGTGCATTGCCAAGTTCCCCTAATTTCCGTATACTTCTTTGTAAGCACCATTATTTCATTTTGCTTATATTTATAAAGATTTCTATTCAGTAGGCTATTACTCTGATATATATCTTTTTTTCCTTAATAATCACCCAGCTCTCTTCAAGGACAAAGTATCTAACTCTCTTCACTTTGCTAACCTGTGTTTGTGGTAACTTTTCAATTTAGGTTTTGCAGGAAGTGCTTCTTGACAGCTATCAGAGAAAGTGGAACACATTGTCCTCTCTGCCGGGGGAGCGTGACTAAAAAAGAAAGAACATATCCCAAAAGGGCTCTAGATGTTGAAAACAGTATGAAGAAAGCTTCTGGGGGCTGTAGATGCTGTGAGAAGCAGGTAGAGTAAAACTTTACAAAAAGTTGGATAAATTGTTCTTATTTTTGACCAGACACAGTTTTACTGTGTATCATTCTTGTCTTGGAGCTAAAGAGCCTAGAGCAATTTGAACTTAGCTTTGTATGTCTTGTGCATATACTAGGCATGCAGTGCCTGCTAGGTATGCCTAACAGAAGTAAACTGAAAAAGGATCGCGTATTGTTTATAAGGACTTTTTGAGTGGAGTGCTAGTTTTTCCCCAAAACAATGCGAAAACTGGATATAGCTATAAAACTAGCAAAAGAAAAGTTAGACAACTGAAAGGGAAAGTTGCAGATATCTGGAAAACCTCAGAAACTTTCACTATAGAAGTGAAAGTGCTTAGAGCTACTGTAAAATTTAATTTAAAAACAAAAAATAAGGGTTGATTACTCTTGGTGTACATACAATCATATGTAATTTCCCCCTGCCACATCAGTCTATTTGCATTCCCTTCATTCCCTTTGTCACTATTTTCAGAACATTGGGTGCGATCTTGAACCCCACTGAAATCAAGAGTGATCTCTCTTATATAAATGGATGCAAGATTTCAGCCACACATTTTGTTTACATCTAATTGTATCAAATCCAGGGAGTTGTCTTCATGTTTGTTTTGTTTCACCTGGGACTTAGTTCTGCCAATGTGAAGATTAGCCCTAGTGGAAAGCTGAGCTGCTTGCTTTGTCCCACATGATTCATTAGGATGAAAAGCTGGGAGAAAGAAACAATAGCAAGTTGGTAAACTGGAAGGACGAACCAAATGGATCCCCAGAACAACACTAATGGAATTTAGGCACAGGCGCATGAGATGTGATCTTGTTCAGCTTCTAAACCTGTAAGCACTTCCTGACAGTGCTGTTGGACCTGAAATTCTGATTTAGGGCATGTCCAGCACAGCTGTCTTCGGACAAATCTAAGCAACTCATTTTCTTTCCTTGCATTTAATCTGGATAGGCAGCCTTAAGTTGGTGTTCATTCACCTTTTTTTTTCTCCCCCCCCCTTTTTTTTTCCACTCAGAAAAGTTCTGTATTCTCAGAACACACATAATGCAAAAAGACTTTGCTCTGCACAAGGTAACAGCAGGCCAGAGAAGACTGAAGGAGCAGTATTGCTTATCCCATCCTCTTGGCCCCTCTCTGTCCTAGCTCATCACTCATTGATCCTGGATCTGGGACGTGTAGTTCCTGTGACTCTGTTTCAGTTAAATGGAGTTTATTCGTATCTTTCACCTCTGAGAGAGGTCTCTCAGTGGCTTGGCTGTTGGGGGTGTGGGGTGTGGGAATGTTCTCCAGTCTCACAGAGTGACAGAGGCTCTATGGAAAAAGGAAATGAAGATCTCCTGTTGGAGAAGAAAGTATTCATGCTGAGAGGGGAAACACAAGTTCTGGTTTCTTCTGCATGTGATACCCAAATAATTTCTGCATGCATTGCTTTCTGTTGGCAGAATTGACTCTTCCTTCTATCCCTGGATTGTTTAGTATAATTTCAATAATTTGGCATTTCATTTACAGGTTAGATTTTCGTGGATGAGACAGCATTATAAAACGTGTAAGAAGTATCAGGATGAATATGGTGTTTCTTCTATTATTCCAAACTTACAGATTTCCCAGGATTCAACAGGGAACAGGTAATCTGGGTGTTTTATGTGTAACAGTGCATCTTATTCTCCCTTACCCCCTAAGGAAAGTATTTTTTTTTCCAGGGCACGCCTTCTTTTTGCAATAATTATTGTCCATATTTTAGTGCTTCAGAAAATGACAGTTTTTCCAGGTCCTTTTCTTTACTCTTAGCAAACAGAAGAAAACCTTTCTGCCCGGTCGTTTGGAATGTCTTCTAGGGACTCTCTAAAAAGTGTATAGTATTTGCAGCTTACTTTGATTGCCTTGACAGCTTTTGAGTGGTTTACTTTGTAACAAATTTCATAATATTTAGACCCAGGGAAGTTTCCTTCGCTTTTTATTCCCCAACCCCCCCTTCCTAAGTCTGTTTTAGTAGGTATCCTGTCTCAAAACATTATTGTGCAAGCTTTTGCTTTCTGATTGAATTTATTTTGAACTGATCTCTTCTGAAATGTATAAGGAACTCCAGTATGTTACACACCATACAATACAAATGCCACTTACTGTTTGTTTTTCAGGCAGTAAAGCTAAAGAACTTTTGCTTTCATACCTGCTCACTGATGTGTTTAGTTTGGTTGAGGATTTTTGCTTATTTCTGAAGACCTTTTTTTACATATTAGATTCATAGAACTTTATTATATATATGGCCTGTCCTTTATTTACTTTCTTTTGACATCTGTTTTCTCTTTTTAGCAGTCTGAACTTCTCTGTGTTTGGTTTTCAACCCATCAGTGTATTGAAAGTGGAACTTTAATAAGCTGTTAGCAGAACTAGTTGCAGCGACGTTCCTGGAAAAATTACAGAGAAGATTCTACTGAGTACTATTGAAAGGCTTTTAAAGAATAATGCAGTTATCAGGCACAGTCAACATGGGTTCACAAAGGGAAAGTCCTGTTTAACTGATTGATTTCCTTCTATGATAAGGTCACCTGCCTAGTGGGTGAAGGGAGGGCAGTGGATGAAGTTTTTCTGCATTTTAGTAAGGCTTTTGATACTGTCCCTCATAGCGTCCTTCTGGACAAGCTATCCAACTGCGGGATGTGCAGGTTCGTGGTTCACTGGGTGAAAAACTGACTGAATGGCAGAGCTCAAAGGGTTGTAGTGAATGTGGCTACATCTGCCTGGCGACTGGTCACCAGCCGTCTTCCTCAGGGTTCAGTTCTAGGGCCAGTCCTGTTCAATATATTTATCAATGTTCTGGATGCAGGAGTTGAATGCACCATTAGCAAGTTTGCTGATGATACCAGACTGGGAGGTGCTGATGACTCTCTCAAGGGATGGGTAGCCTTGCAGAGAGATCTAGATAGACTGGAGCTTTGGGCTATGATTAATGAGGTGAAATTTAACAGGTTGAAATGGCAGATTCTGCACCTAGGACAGAGTAATGCCAGACACAAAGTACAAGTTGGGAGAGGGGTGGCTGGAGAGCAGCCCTGCAGGAAGGGATCTGGGGGTGCTAGTCGACAGCCGGCTCAATGTGAGTCAGCAGTGTGCCCGGGCAGCCACGAGGGCAAACTGCATCCTGGGGTGCATCAAACACAGCATAGCCAGCCGGTCAAAAGAGGTGATTGTCCCACTGTATTCAGCCTTGGTGCAACCTCACCCTGAGTACTGTGTCCAGTTCTGGGACCCACAACTGAAGAAGGATGTGAAGGTCCTTGAATGCATCCAGAGTAGGAGGACAACAAAGCTGGTGAAAGGGCTGGAAGGAATGTCCTGTGAAGAGCAGTTGAGGACTTTGGGCTTGTCTAGTTCAGGGAAGAGGAGGCTGAGGGCAGACTTCATTGCTCTCTACAACTTCCTGAGGAGGGGAAGTAGAGAGGGAGGTGCTCATCTCTTCTCCCTGGTACCCAGTGATAGGACACATGGGAATGGTTCAAAGCTGCACCAGGGCAGGTTTAGACTGGACATTAGGAAGCATTTATTTACCAAGAGGGTGGTCAAACACTGGAACAGGCTTTCTAGGGAGATGGTTGATGTCCCAAGCTTGTCAGTGTTTAAGAGGCATTTGGACAATGCCCTTAATAACATGCTTTAACATTTTGTCAGCCCTGGAGCAGTCAGGCAGTTGGACTAGATGATTGGTTTAGGTCTCTTTGAATTGAAATAGTTATTCTATTCTATGTTTCACTGAAGCGTCTGGATATTGTTATATCACTATTTATTGACTATGCCACAGTAGAATACCTGTACTTATAGTACTACAGAAGTATAAAAAATGTACTGTGACCAGATTTGTGACTGTAAATACTCATGTTCTTAGGATGATCAGCATGTCGGAGCAGTTTCTTCTGGCTTAGCTAGAGGTGCACATATGGTCAAATTTACTTTCTAAAATGTTCCTGTCTGTGGGGGTTTACCCCTTACTTTAGGAAAGAGTTTATTTTGTGCACAGTGTAAGAAGATTTATCTTGCTGTAGTTGAAAGTTATAAATTGTTTGTGTAAACACCTGGCAGTTAAATGCCTATTTACCTAGTCCTAAGTCAAAAACCTTAAAAAGTGCTACCTGTCTTACACTCACGTTGTTCATAATGCCTTTTGAGCTGTAATCCCTATTACCACTCTTGTTGACTAAATGTCTGTTGTCTTATATACCACTTTCCTATAAAGTTGTGTAGTATGTCACCATGGTAACTAAACACCGAGACATACCTTCATCCAAATAAAAAAGTTGTGAGAGTTAAGATATATGCCATTTTATGTTTTGCCTTGAAATTCATGGGACTTAATGGATATATATGTATCTTTTTTTCCCTGCTACTGTAAAGCTTCTAAAAAAATTGATAGTAGAGTAAAATAATCACAATTTTCATTGGTGTTTTTTTTTTTTTTTATTCATTTAAAGTAGCAGGAGTGATGCAATATCTGATAATGGCGAGATGGCTAATAATCAAATACTTCAAGGAGAAACAAGGTAGGCTGCTTATTTTTCTATAGTTGCTATTAAAATAGATCCAGATAATCGTAGTGCAAGCTTTTACTAACTTGAAAAAAAACCCCACAAACACCTAGAACAAGTTGTATTAAAAAAATACTCTGTAGTTTCTTCTACGTTTGCATCTATATGTTAGAAATTGGTTTTTTTCCAATACTTTACTGAAGGATTTGAACTAAAAGTTGTTACCACTAAGTAAGAACAGGGTACATTTGCAATTGGAACAAAAGAATTTTCTAAAGTCCAAGTTTCAGAAGAACTCATTTAGGTGCTTTAAATGTGCTTTAAAATGGCAATTTGGAAGTAGCAGTGGGACTCCATTAAATCTGCTATTATGTCAGTGGGGGTCAGGGGTTTTTTGTTGTTATCCAAATGAGGGAAAATAATGACAAGATAACAAATGAATTAAGCTTTCTTTAATACTACATCTAAAACTCTTTTCTGTTTAATACTGCGTATTTCTGTTTACAGTGGACATCCAACCTTCAAATGCCCCCTGTGTCAGGAGGCCAATTTTACCAGACAGCGTTTGCTGGATCACTGTAATAATAGACATCTCTATCAGATAGTTCCAGTAGTAAGTAGAGTTGCTTATGTATGCTTCTTAAGCTACTTTCTTTATAATTACGTGAACAATTTTAAATGTGCAATAGCTAGTCTATATCTGTAAAGATCACCGTAGTCTGAGGAAGACAATACTCTTAATGCAGTGCATTATTTAACTAGAGGAGTGGCTTTCATTTGAAAATATTTCTTGTCCAGCTTCTTGTCAGTTATAAGGCATTTCTCCTTTTTTGAGACTGACGCTTACTCTTCTTCATTTAGTAATTTAGAACTGTTACTATAGAATCCCATTTGTAACCTAACTAGAGTTTCATGTGAAACCTACAGTTACTTGAAAAGTAATCTAAGGTAATTAAAGGGAGTGAAGGAGAAAAATCTATTTGTTTTTCTATTCTTTTCATCTGTATAGGGTGTGTAGTTTTTTATTTTGGCTTAATTGATGGTCTCAATTGTATGAAAATCCTCCCAAACAACAAATAGGATGCAGTAATAATTTTCTTTTCTAAATTTTAAGCAGCAGAAATTGACAAAAGGAGTGCCAGACAGACATGATAATCCCCCACTCTTAAGATAAACAGTTAAGAAATTTGGCAAGGTGAAATGTAATTTTTGAATGTTATGCAGTTGAGGAAAAGAACACTTAGAATTATGATTTTATGTGAACATCTTTACTGTATTGTGGTAGGGGATGAATAATAGACTAGTTATTCCTGTAGAAAGTGTCTTTAATGTATTACCAATAACTTTTTTTTAATTCTTTCTCTTTCCCCTTCCCCTCCAAATTCAGATCTGTCCTATTTGTGTATCTCTTCCTTGGGCAGATAGTAACCAGGTTACTAGAAATCTTGTTAGCCATCTAAATCTAAGACATCGGTTTGACTACGGAGAATTTGTGGTAAGCTTTTTCTTCTTTAATGTGTTGGGGAATAAATGGTAACTTTTTTCTTTAAATAAAAATGCCAAATAAAAAATTTGTACCAAACTTGTTTGTGCTCTGGACATGCTATGTTCCTGCTCTATACAGAACTCAGAAGTAGGCCCGTCTGTTCTTAAGCTTTCTGTTATCAACATGAAGTGCTACCAGGAATAGGTTTTGTCAACAGTTAAGCTCTGCTCCAAACTTGTGACTTAAGTCTTTAGCTTAGTGTTCTCAATCTGAACTATTTGTTCATCCGGAACTGGTTATTACTGCTGCTTCTGGGGGAAATAAAATAGATGCTTCTCTGTTTTATTGACATTTTTGACCTTTTATGTCAGAAATGACTAAATCATAATTCTCAGGACTTAAAGTGCAGCCTGACTAGTGGGTATTGCTGCTACCGCCTCTCTTCCAGTATGTTGTGAGAGAGGCTGCAATGTGAAAAAGAGATGCGTCATTAAATCATTGTTCTTGTTGCCTTCTTTCAGGCACACTTTGAGTAAATGACTTGGGAGTAGATGCAGAACTACATGCACACAGGTTGTCACTGGGTGGATCATAAGTCAAGACAACCAGTTGAATTCTGCATATGGAACCAGAGAGCTGGAGAGTTTATGTTGTAGTTTCTACAGAGTTTGGCAGGCTTTGGGGTACACTGCTTGAGCTTTGTGTGAGACAAGCATAGTATTTGAGGCATAGGCAACCTCACTGGTTAGAGATGGCAAAGGTGATGCATGTTGTTCTTTGTGTTGAGTGGTCTGTGACAAAGGCATGAAGAGCTAGGAGACTGATACAGGGGATTGAATTCTTCAACATCAACACATCTTGCATGTTTGAGGATGTAGAACTGGTGATGGGAATTCTGATTTGGGGAAGCTGCCAGAATCACACTAAAAAGGTGTATTACTCTGGCGTGTGAACAACTTGGAAGATAACTTTTCAAAAGTAGCAGGGTTAACCACCCATCTTTTGTGATACATGTTTGCTTTCTCATTTTAAGCAGTATGTTCGCAACAATCTATGATTGCTGTTGTCTGGGGATCACATTTTGTTTTTATTAATGGAGGATGTTATGGTTGGTTGGAAGCCCTATTATAAGACTTGCGTGACAGAGTCAGCTTTCCTGAGCTGGCTATTCTGTAATGCAATTGTGCCAGGGAGAGAAGATGGACCCTTCTGCTTAATGAGCCTTGTCCCATTCATCTGATTCTTCTCCTGTCTTGTGTATCTCTTGGTATTTGGTTAAATAAAAGATATTGTGCAACATAAACAAGCATCCAGTACACATAAAGATCAAGAGTCTTCCTCTAGGTGCCAATTCTTATGTAGAAATGTGGAAAATTAATGATTAAACTGAGGACTGTGGTACATCTTGAGTATTTGTCCATTTTGATGATGTTTTCATTTTGTTTAGAATCTTCAGCTTGATGAAGAAGCCCAATACCAAAATGCAGTTCAAGAATCCTGTCATGTGAACTTTTAAACTATAGCCCCTCTTCATCTTACTGGTTATCTGAGAGAGAAATTACCTTAATTCTGTTGGTGATCTGAAGTGTATATTAATGAAAATGGTATTCAGTAACCACTTTTCAGGCTTAACTTTTCCATGCTCATAAGGACTTTTCATAAATGATTTTGCTGAAACTCGAACTTCACATCTTTACTGACATCTGTCCCTGTGGAATTAGGGATCTTTTAGGAACTTCTCACTGTTGTCTTGATTTTCTCTAACTTTTACTACTCTGTTAATTACACAATTTATTTTATTAATGTCACATATTTTAATTCACCAAAACCAGTTTTGAAAGTAGTATCTTTAGAAAGACATGCAAAGCTGCTCTGTCGCAGTGTTGAGTTTCTTTAAGTTCAACTGTCATCTGCGAAGATAACTGTGAGATGATAATTTTTTTTTCTCCTCCTGCCCAAGGACAAAGTTTTATTTGATGTAGTGATTTGGTTTTTATCATTACCATGTGAATGAAAACAACAACAGCTTAAGAAATGAAAACATTTGTTTTCTATAGATCAGCAGTGCAGAACAGGTTTTTTTCACCTTTCATTGAGAAAGAATGATGCCATTGCCTAGGAATAGTTACATCTATTTTTCCCGTTTTGGAGCATAAGTGAAATTGGATGCTTCCTTACTAAAGTGATGGGTGAGTTTTCTCTGTGCTCCCACCTCCTAAGGAAGATGGTCCCCCCGTATACTTTCTGAGCAATTCAAGATGACGTGCAAAAAGTGTACTTTTTCAGTACATGACTGTGACCAGCTAGTTTTTCATTTTATTGGAGCTTTTTAAGAGCTTCTGTTGTTGCATTTGGAATTCAAGTTTTGGTCTGTTCTATCTTTCATGGAAGGCTGTGTAACTAGAGAACTAATTGGCTTCAGACCTACCAACACTCAGAAATGAACTTTTTTATTGTGGTAAGACTGTTTAAAACTTGGACATCTCCTGCATCCAAAGGCTTTGAATAAACAGTTGCGAGAAAAACTTGCTCTAATATAGTTACCAACATATTTTAAGAGTTCCTATCCTAGATTTCCACATTCCCAGCAAGACCGTCAATAAAATTGGAGAAAGCAGAGCAATAATACAATTTTGAATTTAAATGCAAAATCCATTTGTAAAATAACTTCAAGGTCTTTTATTTAATACTAATGGGGAGAAGGGGAAGGCAAGCTGCACAGCTTATATTTTGTAGGTTTAAATAGAGACTGTTCTGAATGTATACCTTTTAGGACTGACTCTTCATCCTGTGTTGCCATATACCATTGTCAACTACTGTTCGTAATGGGTATTGTATATGTGGTGGAGAACATCCCCAGTAATTTTCCTAGTCTAGTTGGTGACTTATATGTAACAATATCAGTTGTGCAGCCAAAGTACAATCTGCTTCTTGTGCCCTGGCTCCCATTTGCTCTCCAAATAGAGGTTTTGATTATTATTTGAATACTGGGATATTTCATATTCCAAAACTGGTAAGGTTGAAATGCCTCATTCTGCAATGTAATGGGTTTCCAAAGTGAATCTTAGTTCTAATATGTTGAGTGTTGGAACTAAAACACTATACACTGTAACTTGATATTTCTGTCTTCTGTTTTTTAAGAGTGTAAAACATTACTGAAGGCATAACTGGTTAAAATACAGAGAAAGTTGGCTATTTCAGAAATGTCTAAAGGTTATATCCTTTTTATAACAACTTAACATGTCTTGTATTTTGTTACTGGCTTAATACAGTATTTTGGCAGCCAGCCACACTTTGATCTTGTACTCCAGCTTCTGTGTTTGCCCCCAGTATTCCTGTCTGCCTATTCTTGCTTGTCTGTCAGCTCTAGTGCTTGTGTGACCACATACAGATTTGGAGTGGTTCACTGATCCAACTGAAAAGATTGTTTGGACTTTATACTTCTCTTTTCCTCTATAAAGCCGACTATGAAATAGCACCCTTTGACAGAACAGAATGTCAAGGTAGCCTGATGCTAGAGTTTTAGCTTTTTAAAATAAAAACGCATACCGTGGCAATTTTATTACTGCATACATTTCCTAAGGATTTTAATAGTTATATGTAAGTTTAGTTAACTTTTTTAGATTCAATGAAATATTTATATGATCTGGCAATAAATGCCTACAGCCAATACAGATTCAGAATGCCTCGTGGACACTGGAACTAGCTATTTCTATTACTTGAACATATCTTGAGAATTGCAGATGAAATTACATCTATTTTAAAACTCTGGGAAACAAATTTTTCTATAGCAATAATTAGTTGTCACTTGATGCATAGTTGCTGAGCATTTTAGTCATGTTAAAATGTTGAGAGACTTGAATACACATTTTAAAGCAACAAATGTGTATAAATGCAATATAAAAAAACCTTGCAAAATGTTTATCCTCCTTATTTGCATATGTTAAAATCTGTATTGGCAGGCGCTGCCTTGCTTAAGATTTTATACTTTTAATATAAAGAGATTGCATCCAATACATTCACTAGGTAAGCGTTTAATGAAAATGAAATGATCTATTTAAATATGCTGCTGCTGGTCATGATCTTTCTCACTGAAACTCAGACATGCACAAAAAGCTGTGTATTTGTGATGGGTGATGCTTTTACTCAAAACGTGCAATCTTCACTAGAAGATTGCTGTTTAACAATGTTTTCATGTTCATGTTGCATTGTGTATGGTTTCGATATGGTATATTATGTTTGAATTGTACCTTCTATTTTTTCTCCTATTAAAGTATTTTATTTTCTGTTTGTCTCTTTGTTGCATAATAAAGATGATCAGTCCCCTTGATGCTACTTCTTCCTTTCAGATGCTTTCTAAACTTAAGTACATGGTCAGTTGTATGTCTTCACACTGTAAATTATTATAATGGTGTATATGCTGCTGGAAGTGATGAGTTGTGGCTCATGATCCTCTCATGAGCTGACAAGTTACCTTACATCACATCTCAAGATCTTTCCATGAGCAGTGGCGATGATAGGTTTCTGCCTCCTGTGTTCATATGTTGCTGTCCCATGTGATTCTAATAGAGAAATAACCTAAAGGAGAAAGAATATGTAACACTTGGAGCCAGTAGCAAAACCTTGTTATTTAAAGGTAGGTTTACTAAGAAAAGGTAATGTTTTTCTGAGGAAAGAATTGTCAATAAGTTTGGGCTGGTTGCAGTGCTGCACCAGCGCAGTGGTGTCTAGATGGTTTATCCTTCTGCCCTGTATTTCTGAGCTGAAAAACTCTGGATATTTTCTGTGCCCTTACATTCTAAGGACATACAGATGATAATACAGTTATGAATTGAGTTAGTGTCGTATTTTGAATGCTAGAAATAGAGAAAAATATGTAAATTTACTTTTTATTAGTTTATTGTTCTTTCCCCTTAGAATGTAATTTTCTGAGCTCTAAATGGATTATTGTATCTCGTAAATCTGCTTATAAGCCCTTTGTTAGAGATTCCATTTAATTTTCTTTTACTATAGCAATGCATATTTCATTATTTAGAAAGAATGCAGTCAATGTGTTTACTCCTCATTGGCAGTATGTTGGTTATAGGATACGTGAGCTCTGCAGAACTCTCTGTCCTGCTCCAGTCCTAAGCCAGGGCTTCGTTGCCAGGGAGAGAGAGTGACTTGCACCCAGGTCATCTTCTGACAGGTAGTCAGGGCTAGAAGGTTTTCTGTATTTGGGAAACATTTCTGTTGCCCTCTTTTTAGATGGGGCTTCTGAGTCTGGTGAGATTTGAACACGTGAGTGTCTGTAAGGACTCTGCTATAAAAAAAGTACACCTAGTGTATTTTTTATATCTTTCGTTTTATAGAATCATAGCATTGTCTAGGTTGGAAGCGACCTTTGAAATCATCAAGTTCAACCATTAACCTAACACTGCCAAAACCACCTCTAAACCATGTCCCCTAAGCACTGTGTCTACCTGTCTTTTAAATACCTCCAGGGATGGTGATTCTGCAGCTTCCCTGGGCAGCCTGTTCCAATGTTATGCTGAAACAGACACACTAATTCATGGATGCTCTTAAGAGTTGTGCATGTTGCTATGTCTTGTAAATGCTGTGCCATTTGTGAAATGGCTGCAGAAGCTGGCAACCAAGGTTGTTTTATTCACGGCAAGCAGAGCTACAAGAACATACAACAGAAGCATCTTCAGGGTTCTTTTAGAATTTGAGAAACTAGCAATGAGAGGGTACAAACACTGCCTAGTCTTTTCTCAGTACAGTGTGCATTTAAACTTGCTCTAGATACCAGTTTTCTTTTGTATTCTGTTGTGGGTATGTTTGAAAACATGTAGGAGACAAAATTCAGGGCCTCTACTATGAGAAGGCTTTTCAATAATGTTAAAAATGCCACTTCCCAGTGAATTACCAGGCTCTTGCTAGGGTCAAAGCATGGACTTTTTTTCCCTCATAAGTAAAGTAGGTCTGTACCATTTCTTACTCTCCTTGAACTGTAGGTCTGCTTTGGGAAGGACGAGTTTTCACCTCTTTATTTTCCAGCCTTATTCTATCACACACACACATACACACACACACACACCCCTGTCATATATCTCTGTATAGTGGATATGATCAGGAAAGAGCCAGGAAAGTAAATTTTATGTTTATTCCCCCACCACCCCCCAAGCTGTTATGAAATAAAAAAAATAAAATAAAAGAGGAAAAAGCCATCACTACCAAATGCATTTTGTGGAAAGTATCTAAGTCTATTTTAAATCTTTGCCTTCAATCCTCTGTATACATTTAGGATGTGTTCCTCAGCTCCATGAAGCTGCAGGTCATTTGCCAGGGCTTAGTGACAGAATACTGTTTTTATGAACTTACTTGAGCTTCTGAGCATGCTTAGTTGCTGAAAAAAGTGCTCCTTACTATTACTTTATATTCTTTCTCTACTGTGTTTCTGTCTCTCTTTTTTCTTCTTTTTTTTTTTTCCCTACAGCAATTCCCATAAGTTTCCCCTGTCTGTTTCCCTCCCAGTCCCCTTTCTGTCTTTTAAAGTAATCAGCAACTAAAT